TCCCTGCTGCACGATGGCCGTCCGCACTGCGGTGTGGCACGCTTTCCAACGTGTTTCGGGATCACAGCCTTTGCATCCGCGCTCCGCTTCCACGTTGTGCCCCTGTGTCTGTGAGAGCCCTCGCCTACTTGGGTGCTGCGAAGGCCTCGGTAAACTTCAGTCGGAATGATTTGGAGAGGTGGTAGTACAGAATAGGGTCGAAGCAGAGGTTTGACACTGCGAACAGCAAGGTACATTCCTTGGCCTTGAAGAAGGCCTGTTTCAGGGAGCAGCTGGTGATGGTGTCGCTTTGGCTCAGGGTGTAGGGGATGCGGACGATGTGGTACGGGACGAAGCACAGCAGGTAGCTGGCTGTCACGAGCAGTATGCTGATGAGGGCTTTCTTCACGGCTGCGTAGCTCTCGCTGTACTTGTTTCGGTAGAGTTGCCTAACGACGAGGAAATTGGAAATCAGTATCACGGCCGAGAAATTCAGGAATATTGCTGTGCATATGAAATTAGTGAACACGTGCCAGTCTCTTCCGAATTTTGTTTTGAAATCGATGCATCCTGCTCCAGGGCTTTCTTCGATGGTTTTTATTGGAATAGCCATGTTGGGCACTGTTATGAGGAGAACCGTCACCCATATGACTGCAGACAGCATCTTGGCAAATCCAGGCTCTTGAACGCGGTAGATCTTACAGCCGTGCATTAGCTGAAGGCAACGGTCCATGCTCACAAATCCCAAGAATATGATTGATAAATACATGTTCAGGTAGATGAAGCAGGCTGTGACTTGACAGTGGAAGATTCTCAGTTTCCAGGACGCGACTCCTAGGTCGACAATAATCTTCACTGGCAACGCCAAAGTCAACAAGAAATCCGCCGTCAAGAGGTTGATTAGGTAGATGCTCATACACTTGTGTTTCTGATCTTCCCGTGTGAATGCCCACAGTGCAAAACAGCCTCCGATAAATCCCATGAGGAAAATCAAGTAGTAAAAATAGGTAAAAGGTTCCATTTCTTGAACGATGTGGCATTGTGAAACGTTGCTTGACATTGTAAACTGGATTTTGCTGCCGGGAGGTCCCAAGCACCTACAGAAAGAACCGAGAAGACGTCAGTGACATCAGCTTTTCCTGAGCAATCGTCTTAGTTCTCTGGAAGTTCAGTTTTTAGTGATTTCATGGCAAAATGCAATTGGAAAGAAATGCTTTTCTCTCTCTCCATGCTGCTCCACAGACACTCACGAGGGCTTTGTCGTGTCGAAGCGTTTGGAAATGCATTAGGGCTTGTTCTTGGAAGGGTGTAGACTTCGGAGAAACCTTCCCACTAGAGCAGTCCTGAGCGAGTGGTTTAACACCGCCCACCCCAACCAACCAAAATACCCAAGAGAAGGGTTTTGAAGCTGCTGGAGACTAAGCATCTGGTTAACGACGGTCATACTGAAACTTCACAACTTGAGAAGAATTGAACTGTGCCTAAAAAAAGGGTAATATTTGTAGTGGTCTTGGTCTGTAAAAATGTATTGGGAGTTTGGGAGTTCATACGCTGTCGAAGCAATACATGAGACGTCTGGTAGTGGGCAAGTAGTGCCAATCAGTCCTAAGTTTCTGCAAACTCCTCTCTTCCTGCATGAACAGAGGGTAAATTAATTGCATATTTTTATGAAGCCTTTAGAAAAAAGCACATTTTGAAGGAAGCAGCCATTAAATAATGTTGCTCACTTCCTTTTTAGGCTTCACTAGAAATTACAGGGAAGAAAAGTACAAAATGTGGGTCTTACTTTAGCTAAGTATGCTACCCGGTGAGTGCGGGGTGGCTGGTTGGTTTGCTGCTGTCAGACTGCAGTGGGAAGGAGGCACGTTCACTAGAGTTTCTTGGAATGAAACGCAGTGTATTTGCAGTCTGATGCCATCCAAGATGAACACTTCTATTTCGTTTCCTAACTGTAATATAGAATGTAAGAGAACGACTGCATTTGCCCGTTTGTTTTCTGCTGTAAAACATGTACCGTAGTTTGGAAACCACGACGACTGCAGATGCTCCGGTGAGTTAGAATGCGGGTTGTTTCCTGCCCTTGGCTTGGGGGAGGTGGGCTCTGGGCCTGAAAGCCTGGCACCGAGTCGCATTAAGCCTGGGTGGGTGCAGCGTAGGTGAGGAGCACCCGGAGCTGCCGGCCGCGCTGCCATGGCCCTGGGGCGAGGGGTTCTGGCTGGGGCAGGGTGAAGCCCCGCTCGAACCCCGGGGGGCAAAGAGGCAGCCCGGCACAGCGAGCCCCGAAATCCGGGTGGGACCAGGGCTTCCCAGGGTACAGCACGGCTGGTCGCCGCGTACTTGAGCCCGGCTTTGTGTGCCTTAGGCGCGGCTGAGGTTTCGGGCTGTGTCTTTACGCGGCTTTGGGTAGGCTGGGGCGAAGAGGAAAGAGCACGTACCTGTCTGGGTGGTCTCTCTCGGGGGGCTGCGAGGGTCTGCGTCCCGGCGACTGCTCTCGCAGCAGTCCCACGGCACGTTGATCTTCTCCCCTGGCTGCGTCTGCTGGCGTTCGAAATGTGTCTGTGGTTTTCCGTGCGCCGACTGACGCAGTTAAACCCGGCGTTCGCGTAGCCGAGCCACGTGGAAGGTGTCAGCACCACGTACAAGGTGGAGGTGACAGAAAACTGTGCATGTTTAGGGAACAGCCCAGCGGGACTGCTCGTTCCTGACCCCCTGCATACGCCTGACACGGAAAATCTGTAGGGAGTCAGGGATGTGCAGTGCAGTTGGCCTTCATGCAGTATAATATTCCTGCAGGGAATTCCCTTTTTTGCTTGGGTTGCAGCAGGATTTGCAGGTTTAAGGGCACTTGGGGGTTCTACTGGTAGCAGTTACAGTTCTCAGCCTGTGGACATCTGCCAAGCACTGTGAAAAGTGACGAGGACACATTAGGGATGTAGTGAAATGTTTGGAGTTAAGCTTTTTGCAATGTTTTAATTCTTTAACGAGCAGGAGAACGTGTCTAACGCCAGGCCGGGGGCTGAGGCAGTGGCAGCGATACCGAAACCCCAGCACTTGGTTGTAGTAGAGAATCCACAGGAATTTACAAATCACGTACCAGAGCTTTGTGAAGAAACAAGTGAAGAATGTCTGGTTTTAAGTTTAGTCATAAGCTTAAAGTTCAGACCATATTTGTCGAAATGTTTGCAGAGCTTCATGGTCTGGGATGATCCTGCGTTCGGTTTTGAGCAAACACGGGCTGGTTTAGTGGGGTTGTGCTCATCGAGCCAAACTGATCTTTCCATACTCGTGTTCTCCTTCGCTGTTAAACGTGCCGTGTAGCATTCAGCCAGTTTGCTCCGTGTGGGTGTGCTGGCGTCTGCCCTGCTCTGTGGAGCCGGTTCACAGCTCAGAAAACTTCCCCGGGTCTAAAAAGACAAGGTGGTGGTGAGGCAAACCTGTACTGGGAAATGGTCTGTGCTGCCTGCGGAAGCTTCGGGAGGAGAAGGGACGTGAGAACGCGAGTCTGCTGAATCACTGCGGCTCAGAGCCATCCTCTTCCCCGTCGGTGTCTGGTTCAAAAGGCCGGTCGAGTTCATGAATTAGAGGTGCAGATGGCAGATTTTGCTGTAAAGTTGCAGAATGCTTCTCATCATAAACCCCTGGGTCTGGTGGTCTAAACTTTGCTGAGGTTTAGGCTTTTGATGTGAGGTTCTCCACGATGCACGCCTGCCTAGGGTCACTCCTGGGATGGGGGGTGATGCCAGGAAGGGAAGGGCTGCTGGTGGGAATTCGGCCAAAATGATTAAAGGTTTTCTGCGAACAGAGCTAAATAACATCTAAACCTTAAAAAACCAGCCCTACGTCTGATGACCTTTAAAAGAACATCAGGAGCCTCATGTTTTGAATTGGACACCCCAAAGATGCGTGTGGGTGGCCCTTGTGTCAGGATCACTTCTGATCACCTCAAAGCACCCCATCACACCCCCTGCCATGGGCAGGGACACCTTCCACCAGCCCAGGTTGCTCCCAGCCTCATCCAGCCTGGCCTTGGGCACTCCCAGGGATGGGGCATCCACAGCTTCTCTGGGAACCTGTCCCAGTGCTCCCACCCTCTATGGGAAGAATTCCTTCCTGATATCTAAAATCCCTCTCCATGTGTTGCATGCTCATTTGGAGAAGGGTTTCACGCCCAGAAAGCTTCCAGAGGCTGGCTGGAGCTCTGCTGTTGGCAGGCACACCCTCGGCTGCAGCAGTGTTCCAGCCGCACTGGCTCGGAGCAGGGAGCAGTGCCCCGGAAGGGCTCCGGCGTCTCGGGGGGAGTGAGCTGGGACTGGCGCTGGGAGGCTCCGGGAGGCCGGGGGATGCAGAGGTGGGAGAAGGGAAGGGTGTGAGAGCCGCTCCTTGCTGTGCGTTACAGAAACGAGGCGTGTGGGCACCGCGCGCCCGTGCTCTCGCCCCGTGAAGACGGCAGGAGGAAGAGCTGCAGCTGAGCCCTGGGTCGCCGTGGAAGGGGAACCTTGTGCAGCTCCGGGTTACCCCTAACTTTCACCGCAGGGGTTTTAGGGAAGTTCCCCCAGGTGGGGGGCTGGCAAGGCAAGAGCTGGGTGCGACCGCATGACTGCCGCGTGTCGGAGGAGCTGCCTGGGTCACCTGGGGTGGGATGTGCTGGGCAAGGGCGAGCTGCGACAGGATTAACTTGCCCACTCAGAGAAAAATTGGCCCCGTCCCTTGGTTTCGGAGCGGTGTTGTGTGCCAGCTGTCGCACGCGGTGGCAGATGGCGGTGGGCTCGGGGGTCGCTGAGCCGTGCTCTGGTCGTGAAGCTGTTGGAATACTGTTTTCAAAGCGAACCAAAAGCTAGGCATGCAGTGTCACCTCTGGAAGCGTGTTGGGCAGCATCCTTTCCCCTCAGCGCCCGTACAGAGATGGTTGTTCTGATAGAGTAATCGGGTGGGGTGAGGAATCAATTTTACAGCATAAATAATTTTTTCAAAGCTTGCAAAGTCATTAAAAAGTCATACAAGCACACACTGTGGAAGGGTTTTCCCCTCTCCACTCCAGCGTGCTTTCACAGCCGCAGTGAGTTAGATTTACGGAGGCAGATACCGAGCCGTGCTGTGTAAGGAACTAAATGTTTTTGCCATAAATGACAAAAAATCTCCCACGAAGCAGCCGATTCCCCTCCCCAGCAGGCTGGTTCCCTTGCTGGGGGGGAAGAGCCTGCAAAGCCTCAGTTTGACAAGACTTGGGGAGCTCTGAAAGAGCCACATAAATAATCCTTTATGTATTTTCCGTAAAAACCGCTACCAAAATGCAGCCTCCTCTGGTCCCAAAGGGCTGGCTGGGGATCGCCCAGCCCCGGCAGCCAGATGAGGGTCCAGGCTGCTGGCTGCACGGGGGGTTTGGGGTGGGACGGGGGGTAAATGGAGCTCGGTATGCTCCCCGAGCGCGTGTCTGACTCGGCCTGTGGCCGGCCCTTCGGGTGGGATCCAGCCCTGTGTGGTGGGAGCACCGTGACTGCGGATGGGTGCTGGCACTGAGAGCAGTTGCCCGCAGCCTGGCAGCAGGATCAAAGGCCGTGTGTTTAGAAATCTCTCACCCTGAGCGATGGTCCGTTAGGGCTGAAAGGAAACGCGGTGGCAGAAGGGTGAAGGGCGGGTTGTTTGTGTGTTCTGTTCCTGTGTCTTTGTGAAGTAAAACAAAAGCCTTTGGCTTCCAGAGCTGCTGCCCAAAGGCGTTTGTGGGTGCTTTATGCACGGGGGTGTCTTCCCTGTACAGTGATAAAATCAGTCAAAAAAAAAAAAGCTGCTCTGAAAAATAGAGTTGGAAAAGGTTGTATTTATGTACAGGCGGTTGGTGGCGGTCAGCTACCTTTGTACAGCGAGAAATGTTTATCATCATGCCAGAAGCATGGGAAACCCAACAAACCGTTCTCTCTGGGTTTAAATACACCCCGGAGCCTGCTGACAGCCCTGCGTGTGTGAGCTGTCGGCTCCTCGGCTGTTCTTGCCTCCTCCTGCCGCAGCAGCAGGTACTGAGCTCTGTCAGTTCGGTACCACTGTTTTTCCTGTAAACCAAGTTAT